TCGGACGACTACTCACTCCACGCAGACACTATAGACTCTCTCTCTCTCTCACACAGGCAGGGCAGCTCCATTGATTCTGCCAGCACCCAGCAACATCGTTTTTACCTTGACAAGTCGTCAACTTTTGAACTTTCTTTTCATCACTATGTATGCAGTGAAAGAGGTATATTCTCCTTTCAAGTCCGAGCTCACTTTCCGGCGATCTCCGGCGACATCTGGAGCCTGGAAACGGGGGTTTTCTGGCAAACCCGGGTGTCATCTGGATCAAAGGTCAGTTGTACTCCTGGGTCAATTCGGGCAGTGATAAGCAATGATGACAAGGCTTTAGAGCAATCTAACAAGGAAGCTAGTAATAAAGAAGTCAATGGGACAGTGTTATCTAGTTCTAGTGATAAATTAGGAAGAGGAGGGATTGATGTGAGGGCAGTGATCACTATAAGGAAGAAGATGAAAGAGAAGATCAATGAAAAGATTGAAGATCAATGGGAATATTTCATTAATGGGATTGGTAGAGGGATCTCGATTCAACTTGTCAGTGAGGAGATTGACCCTGGTAATTAATAGTACATATTCTATTACTTAAAAAAAAATCTTTTTATTTATTTATTTTCCGTATTCTGTTTGTTAAATGTTATTTGTGTGCTAAAAAGTTAAAGCTTGGATGTTTTTGAAATGGAAATGCATGTACTGTGGGATTCAGTGGTGCTTTTCAAACTCTGCTTCCTCTTTCTTTCTTTCTTCTTTTTTATTCATATCGTTACAAAAAGCAAAAAAGCCGGTCTGTGTAACTACAGGACAGATCATGATCTTTCTTAATTTCCTTAATGTTCTTCGTTCTTTTTCTTCTTTACAAGATTTGGACATGAAAGGATATATGCTCTAATATTTCATGTTTCTTTTCGTTGAAAAATCTGCGTCACTAACCAATTAAGTTTTACTGCTTTGTTGTTGTTGCAGAAACCAATTCAGGGAAGAGTGTAAAGGCTTTTGTGAGGGGGTGGTTACCAAAGCCATCAAATAATGAGCATATTATTGAATATGCAGCCGATTTCACTGTTCCCTTCGATTTTGGGAATCCTGGAGCAGTTCTTGTTACCAATCTTCATGGCAAGGAGGTCTACCTGATGGAGATTGTAGTTCATGGTTTTGATGCGGGTCCTATTTTCTTCCCTGCAAATACATGGATCCATTCGTGCAAAGATAACCCTGATTGCAGAATTATCTTCAGAAATCAAGTCAGTGTTTTTTTTCAGCCCTTACTAAATTTTTGTGTTTCATTCTGCTTACGCGATGCGGAGATGGTTGTGACAGGCATATCTACCATCACAAACACCGCCTGGTATCAAAGATCTACGGCGTGAAGACTTGCTCAGTCTTCGTGGTAATGGAAAAGGCGAGAGAAAACCTCATGATAGAATTTATGATTATGCTCTTTATAACGATTTGGGTAATCCTGACAAGGATGAAGAACTTGCTAGACCAGTCCTGGGCAGTGAGAAGTGGCCTTATCCTTGGCGCTGTAGAACTGGTAGACCTCCAACCAAGAAAGGTATAGTGTTCTCCTGAGAATTTCATTTGAACTACCGTCTAACATTTTTTCAATACTATTCTGATTGGTTATGCGTTGCCTTGAATGAATTTATTTAGATCCAAATTGTGAAACTAGAGTTGAAAAGCCACATCCAGTATATGTACCTCGGGATGAAACCTTCGAGGAGATCAAGCAGAACACTGTTTCGATTGGAAGGTTGAAAGCTCTGCTTCACAATCTTATTCCAGCTATTGCTGCTACATTATCAAGTTCGGACATTTCCTTCACATGCTTCTCCGATATTGATAAGCTATATAACGATGGTTTTATTTTAAAATCTGACGAGCTAAATGAAATAGATCAGTATCCCTTCTTGGGAAATGTTATGAAACAGGTTCTTAGCGTTGGTGAAAGGTTGCTGAAATATGAAATCCCGACTGTTATAAAACGTAAGCTCTTTCTTCCTCCATCTTTACTGCGTGCATTTTTTATACTGCAGCGATTAGGCTGTTATTTTAAGAATTATATTTGAAAAGCCCTTTTCTGATCTCGAGTCAAATACCGTCCTTCTCTATTTCGCCTTGTCTGTTATATCTGCCCAGGAGATAGATTTGCATGGCTACGTGATAGTGAGTTTGCACGCCAGACTTTGGCTGGGGTGAATCCAGTGAACATTGAGATTTTAAAGGTAGTATTTCAAATCATACTTGTCATTTTTGACAGGTCGAATCTTTTCTTCTGTTTCCCTTAGTTGTAAGCCGATTGAATTTTACAGGAATTTCCAATTCTCAGCAAACTTGATCCTGCTGTTTATGGCCCTCCAGAATCAGCACTCACAAAGGAATTAATAGAGCAAGAACTTCATGGAATGAGTGTAGAAAAGGTACTTGTATCATGCATTATTCGTTGCATTCATGCTACATTCACAGAAACCTGTTTTGATTATTCTAAACCTGGAAAAAAGAGTATAAATGTGGTGGATTTGTGCCTTTGATTCTCATGTTCTTTTTCTGGTTGAAAATCCACAAAATTGAAAAGAAAAAAAAAATGAAATGAAATATGTCTGTGCTGACAAACTGTATTCCTCTAACTCTGGTTTCTGATACTTGATGATACAGGCAATTGAGGAGAATAGGTTATTTATACTTCAGTACCATGATATGCTTTTGCCATTTATGGAGAAGATGAACTCCTTGCCAGGGAGAAAAGCTTATGCATCAAGGACTGTTTTCTTCTATGACCGGGCTGGTATGCTAAGGCCAATAGCTATTGAGCTTTCACTTCCTCCATCACCTTCTTCACCTGGTGAAAAACGTGTTTACACTCATGGACATGATGCCACGACACATTGGATTTGGAAACTAGCCAAAGCTCATGTCTGCTCAAATGATGCTGGGGTCCATCAACTTGTAAATCACTGGTAAAAGAATGAATTGTCCTCGATGAAGTTTTAAAAATCAAGGCATGCACATTTCTTACCTGTGGGTGTTTTTGAATTCTTAGGTTGAGGACTCATGCTTGCATGGAGACTTATATAATTGCAACTCATAGACAGCTTAGTGCAATGCACCCCATTTACATGTTGCTTCATCCTCACATGCGCTATACTCTAGAAATTAACGCACTTGCACGACAGAGCTTAATAAATGGAGGAGGAATAATTGAGGCTTGTTTTAGTCCTGGAAAGTATTCTATGGAGATTAGCTCTGCAGCTTACCAGAATATGTGGCGGTTTGACATGGAGGCATTGCCAGCAGATCTTATTCGCAGGTAGAACTGTAACGCATTTTAATTTCACAAAAACCCTTCTGGTTTTTTCATGCTTTTAGATTCCCCAACCTCTCGCTTTTTTCTTGCTTTTAGTGTATTACTATTTCTAAACATCACTTGCTGTAATCTTATTGCCAGCCTTCTTGTAGAGCAAATGACCAAAAAGTGATACCTGTAATGAATCTTTCAGGGGAATGGCAGTGGAGGATCCTTCGATGCCTTGTGGTGTGAGACTTGTGATAGAAGACTACCCTTATGCTTCAGACGGACTCCTCATTTGGTCGGCCATAAAAGAATACGTAGAATCTTATGTTGATCACTTCTACTCTGAGCCTAACTCTGTCACGTCTGATATTGAGATCCAAGCCTGGTGGAACGAGATAAAAAATAAAGGCCATTTTAACAAGAGGAGCGAACTGTGGTGGCCTAAACTCAATACCAAAGAAGATTTATCAGGCATACTTACTACAATGATCTGGATTGCATCAGGGCAGCATGCTGCTTTAAACTTTGGGCAGTACCCCTTTGGAGGGTATGTGCCTAATCGTCCTACCCTCATGAGAAAACCCATCCCTCAAGAAAATGAGCACGAATACGAAAAGTTCATCCAAAATCCTCAGCATACGTTCCTGTCATCTTTGCCAACTCGACTTCAATCCACCAAAGTAATGGCTGCTCAGGACACTCTTTCTACTCACTCTCCAGATGAAGAGTACTTGGGTCAGTTGAGCCATCTGCACAGCCATTGGATCAATGATCATGAAGTAGTAGAATTATCCAATAGATTTTCTGCTCGATTAGAGGAGATTGAAGGTATAATACATTTGAGAAATAAGGATGTCCGCCTTAAGAACAGAAGCGGTGCAGGTGTTCCGCCATATGAACTGTTCCTTCCCACTTCCGGTCCTGGAGTGACGGGTCGAGGAATCCCAAATAGCATTTCTATCTAAAAGGTTAGCCTGATTTAAAGTCATTATAGGTGTCGGCTATTGTTGCCTTTGATTAGCTAATACCATTTTCTTTCTCGAAGAGCTTGTTTACTTAGCATCTGCAATAAGATGTATGGGATTCATATTAGACCAAGCACCTGGAGTGTTGTGCATATAGTATGTGAGTAGAATTAACGAATCAGAAAGATCTAAAGTTTGAGGACCAATTTATATGTGTGGCATAAACGGATATAGATGTGCTTTGGTCAATTAAAAATGGAAGTTCTTTGCATACTCAAGGCTCGGTTATGGTAGGGATACAGAATTATCTGTATTAAGGATTTCATTAGAGTTCTTTGTATGTAAATTAGAAGGCAGTTATGTGCATAATAGGCTAGGTGGTAACACTTTAATCCATAACTTTCCAAAACCAGCACAATGACCCCTTAATTTATGATGTGAAACTCTTCTTCAGTCAATTTGTCTTCGTCTTAGTCTGTCAATTTGTAACCCAATCAGCATTATTACATAACCGTCCCTCGAGCCACCTATTTTATTCTTTAGTCAAAATATTGGACCATCATAATCCAAACTCGTGCCCAGGTTGTCTCAGAGATCTTGGCAGACTGAAATGTGAATGGCCCAAAGTACTGGACCACGCACGAATCTTCTACAAAAGTTTTTAAATTTATAATCTTGTATTTAATTCAAAGCATTATTATTAGCCTCCTGAATCCTGAAGCAAAGGTTAATCAATTACCTAACGACAATTACAACTTAGATATAGCATTTGACAATGCAAGGTTGATTAGCTCCCTTCTCAGCACCTTACCAGCGGCATTCCTAGGTAACGATTCAATGAACATCACTCGTTCTAATCTCTTGTATGGTGCAACCTACAGCAAAATTATTTGGAAGATTAGAAAGATAAAATATGATGAAACAGGGGTTTAATTCATCTGGTGTCATCATCATTCATGAAAATTTAGAAAGCACCTGTCTGGCAATAAAATCCTTGATTTTTGATTCGTCAATATTGCTTCCATTCTGTCTTACCACAAAGCCCACAGGCACCTGACCTGCTTCCTCCTCAGGATATCTGCAATGTACAAGACGATACTTAAACAGCACTAGCACTAAAATGGACTTCAAGTAAACTATAAATCTTTGAACATTGAGGGGATGATAAAAATGAATGGCTTACGGAACTACAGCTGCCTCAACAATATCCGGATTCGATTGAAGCAGATGCTCAAGTTCTGCTGGGGCAACCTGAGGCAATCACAAATTTGCACATGTAACATACAATTATAGAGGGAAAAAGAAAAGGGCTAATTTTATTATTTGACATCTGAATTTCTGGTGCAGTAGTGATAGTAACGAGCCCAACAGCAATGATAAGAGGTACCCGACCTGGTAGCCTTTACATTTGATTAGTTCCTTGATACGATCCACGAAAAACAAGAAGCCCTCCTTGTCAATATAACAAAGGTCCCCAGTTCTCAACCATCCCCCAGAATCCAAAGTTGCAGCAGTTGCTTCGTCATCACCAATGTAACCTACGCTAGAATTAATGACGCAAATTCATGCAAACCAACTGAAAACAACATCCTCAGACTAGGAGGCCTGATCTCTCATAATTTCATCCATCACGACAAAATTAACTTAATACCGCTTTGTATATCAAATACACTAAAACGAATGTCGTGAGGTAGACGAACTATTACCCTTCATAATTGTGTCTCCTCTAACCCAAAGCTCCCCAGGACTGCAGGGAGGAAGAGAAATACCAGTGTCTGGATCAACAATCCTTGCTTCGCAATTTGATAGAAGCTTTCCTGTTGCTCCAATAACTTCACTTTCTTTAGGACCTACTGTTCCAAATATTCTGGCCGTTGTTTCTGTCAGCCCATATCCCTTCATGTCATTGTAGATTGATTAATTAGCAATTAACATCATCAGTTCAAACATCTTATGGTTGGGTGTCCTATAGATCCAATTCAGGAGTAATCTTAGCATAATTCATTAAAAAATTAAATAGAAAAAGAATATTGTATAACTAGAAAATAAATTTTCCCTTTCTTGTTTTATTTTTTCTGTCGAGACATGTACATAAAAAGACTATTAGTCTCTTTTTTTTTTTTTTTTTTTTAAGACTATTACCTAAGAGAGTAACAACAGAAAAAGAAGAAAGATAACAGTTTTTTTTCCTTGGTAACGGCATTTGTTCTTTTACAATAAAGAGGATTTTTACATAAGTTTAGTGCTATTGTATATGATTGATTTATTTTATATTCTTAATTATTTTGTGAATTTGATTTGATTATTCTCACAAAATCTAATTTAAACGGAATGTGATTAAATTTCAACACTTATCAACAACCTTATTAACGACAAAATTATATTAATTAGTTGGGCAATCTGATTGATGCATGCATAATATAATATTATTCAGAATTGGGAAAAAACCTGGGCAAGATGCACGCAGGGAAAACGTTCCTTAAACAGCTCAAGGACCCGCTTCGTTAGAGGAGCTCCCCCGCAAGCCACCACTTCAAGAGAGCTCAAATCGTAGCCATCCACTACTCCAACATTTTTAACCATCGCCACTACCACCGGTGGAGCCAATGCCACGTGGCTCACTCTATACTCTTGAATCGCACTCAGCATCTCCCTTAATTTAAACCTCCCCACGGACACCAGCGTGTCCCCCATCGCCACCAATCTTACACAGTATGCAAAACCGTACGCGTGGAAGTACGGCACCGTACACAACGTGACAGTAGGAATACTATTCTTCACGCCACGTGTCGCATGACTAGCAGCCACCATGGATATGAAGTTCCGGTGTGTAAGCAACACACCTTTGACTCTCCCCGTTGTTCCCGAGGAGTAGAGAATCGCTGCCAGATCCGATTGATAAACCTTAACTCGTTCCAATTCGTTACCTGCAACTCGAGTCTGACTCGTCATTATCGATTCAAACTCAGGCGAGTCGAGTAGGATTTTTTCTTTGACCGAGTCAGGGATTTTGTGAGCATTCTTTGACGTGGCAAACGCGATTACAGGTTTAGAGAGGTTGATTTGGTGGTGAATCTCCGGTTCAGAGGCATTTGGATTTGAAGGAGAGATAACAACGCCGAGAGAGAAGAGAGAGAAGTAGAGGATCGGGATGTGGAGAGAGTTTGGAGAGAGAATGAAAGCGGTATCGCCTTTTTTGAGGCGAAAACGGTTTTGAAGAGAGGAGGCGAGGGTTTCGGTAAAATAAATGAGTTCGTGGAAGGAAATGCGATGGCCAGTGACAGCGTCGAGGAGAGCGGTGGCTTGTGGTGGTGGAGAGGAGGAATGTCGGAGGAGAGAGAAGGCATATTCGGTGGTGGAAACAGAAGCGGTATTTGGAGGGAGTTGGAGATGAGGTCTGAGGCTGAGGTAGGTTTTGGTTAGCGAGCAGAAGCCGCTTTTGGGATCGATTAACGTTGTCGGACGATTCTCCATGTTTAGTTGAGGTGTGTGTTTGGTTTGGTTTTGTTTTTCTGGATTTGTGGAGGGAGGCTGCTACAATTTTGCTATTGTTTAATTGGGGTGTGATTAATTGTTAAATATTAATTACCGGGTTGGGTTATGGATTTGAGATTGAACGAGAAGTCGTTGTTAATTTTGTCATTTTTCTGAGTGGGTACATATATATTGCATATAGCCGTCGGTTTAAAAACATTATTAGAAGATGAGTAGTAGAAACGGAAAATGGGACCGGATGAGGTGACACATCACAAGAAAGAAAGAAAGAAACCAATCTCAACGTTAGTAGAAATGTCGAGGCCAAGCTGCCTACCTTCAGGAAGCAAATACCAACTTAAACAAGTAAACAAACCAACAACGGGGTTTGGTGTAGCGGTAAATAAATTTTAATCTTGTTGATAGTAGTGTATAATTGACGGCATATTTATCTTCTTCTTCTTCTTCTTTTTTTTTTTTTTTTGATAAATGGCATATTTATCTTATTATGCATGACATAACTATTTTTTAAAGAGTCTTTAAACTTTGATTTTAACATAAATACAATAGAATCCTTCCATATGAAAGAATGATGTGACGTGAACCCTAAAAAAAATTAAGATAATTTACCTATCTTTTTATATTATTTACCGATAAATAAATAAATAAACAACTTGAAAGTGGATTAATTATAAAGGCAAGATTGACCTCTTCATTTCTCGAGAATTAAAATTTTTAGAGGTTGATTTAAAAGGATACAAATATAAATTAAAGAAGATACGTGTGGATTTGATTTTGAATTAAAGTATTTTACAAGTTTAACTATATTTTTCTTTTTTCATTTATATATATATATATATATATATATATATATATATTAAATTAAGCTTTTTTTTTTTCTTTTGGTAGTTGAACTGTGCTGAAATTTCAATTAGATTTTAGAGTTTTTGTATTAAGAGAATTGATTTTGTGAAATTGCAATCTTATTTATAATCTCATTTATAAATAGAAAACTATTGTGGATCTAACGATAGTTTAGGTATATGGTAGAAGGTTTTAATAATAACAATCAACTTGGTCAAACAATTAATTGTCAAGAAAGAGGAAAAAAAAACTAGGTCAAATAACTGGTTTTTTTTTAAACTCGAGGGACTAACTTATTACCACATTAAAAAGACTAATTAAATTCTAAGAGGTAAATTATATTAACCCTTTCAAGTATTGTGAAATTATACAAACTATTTGAAATTTTGAAGATTTGAAAAAAAAAAAAAAAAAAAAAACTCATACACATTTGAAACAATATTACAAAAATCCTCTTTTATGTCCAAAATTCTCATAATATGTTTTAAAGAATCACTTTCAATGATAAATGTTTTTGAGAGATATACCATTAAATAACCAACTTAATATTTTTTAATTATTTTATTAGTTTTTAATCATTTTACCGTGTTGTTTCAATATTGAACATAAAAAATATAAACTAACCTTCGATAATCATATTAGTACGCATTAATTTTTTCAGCTTTAAATTTCGTTTTAAAATGATATAGTATGAGAGGTAGGATAACATTAAGACATAAATATCACGTAGAATCCTCACTCGTTTATTTGACAAATTTACTTTTTAAAATAAATTACATGTCAATCAAACACAAACTCAAGAATTCTTAAAAATCACTAATCCTCTCATTGCAAAATACAAACTCAATCTTCTTCGATCAAACACAAACCCAAGAATTATTGCCTACAAGCAAATCTTATCGACGACAATGAACTAGGTAACAAATCAATCTTGGTAACTATAAGCACAATCCTAGCCACATTCCTTGACTTCCCTTCTTTGCAAGTAGTGATTTTTTCCTCAATCGAATCCGAAACTAACTTAGCTATTTTTTTAGGAAATGATCCATCAAAATCCCCGCATCAACAACCAAAAGAACCATAGTCCGAACCGTGGTCTAGGTTCAAAAACTTGAAACCAAGCATTTGCCAACTATATGATAAAAATCAAACTCGGGCAATAAATTCTCCACGAGTTGGATCCTTAGTTTTCCCATAATGTTTAAAAGAGAGACACCTAACACAAACTACAAGAGGCCTTATCTCTAAAACTAATTTATTTTCAGCCCAATCAAGATTTGGGATTTGGTTATCGTGGTCAAGAAATAAACCCCCTTTAAAGGAATTTGAAAATTCTAACTCTAGCGAAATGGGTATAAGTTGATGTTGGACTTGTAATTCAAGTCTTTAATTGATGGTTATTAGTAGAAACCAAGGTGTTTTGGGTTTACGTCTTGCATATGGACCCCACGACCAGTGGCAAACGGTGGCCGAAGGTGTGGCATCATCATAATTTTCATCTCGTGGTGAGAGGTAAAGAAGGAAAAGTTTGGTGTTTTGGTTGGTTTGAATTAGTGGCTTTGAAGAGAAAAAATAATAGGTCTTGATAGGGTTTTGGGTCCATAAATTATAATAGTAATTATGGGATTTTATTGGTGTTAACAGTGACTCAGTAAGAAAATAGAGAGATAAAAGAGGCTTAAGTTTTGATTTTGATCATTCCATTTTGTTTGGGATCGAAGAAGATTGGGTTTGGGTTTTGTAATAAGAATAAGGCTTATTATACCATAAAAATACAAATCATGCACCTTTTAATCTCTTTGGTATTTTTCTTTCGAAAGTGTATGGAAAATATATAAACTATGCTTCGATAACAATTTTAGACAAAATTTATTTTTCATCTAAGATTCGAGTTCATCCGATGTGGCATGACACGTAAGATGATACCTTGGATAAAAGTCCACATAGGATGACATGTGGATAACAATTATAATTTAGTTAGGATGAATGACATGTCGCTCACCCACTTATTCAAAACCAATTCCTAAAACTAACTAACCTAATTCAATTCAATTCTTAAAAAAAACAAATCTCTAATTTCTTTGCTTTGCTTCTCTTCTCTACTTGATCGACGAACAAGTCAGCCCAAATCCTTAATTTTCTTCTCTTATTTGCCCAACGAATAAGAACTCCAATCTTCTTCTCTTTTTTATTCACAACAACCAAAAACTCTAATCTTTTTCTCTTCTTTTTTCTTCAAATAGTCTTTTTTCTCGCTCATAAAATTCCCAAACGAAAACTCATACTTGCATTTGCATACCTCTCAAGAAACCTATGAATCCTCAATAAGTATCCATTCCCCTAAGAATCTTCAACTATAAGGTTCTCTCTTTCTCTATCTCTATCGATTTTCTTCTCATTTTTTTATGGGTTTTCTCATTTATTATATTTTGATGATTTTGGATTTTGGTGCCTCTTTTATCCATGTAAATTCTTCAACCGTATTGTGATGGATCAAAACTTATACTCGTATTACCCATACCTGAATTAGCATAATTATTTTTTATTATATTAAATATATATATATATATATATATATATATGTAGAGTTTATTATAATTTAGTTTTTCTTTTAGCGCTTCTATCCACATGATGGCTAAGACATTCAAATTAAATTTTCATGTTGGTAGGGTATTCAACGGATCGAATCCAATTACTTGTATTGACGAGGTTAGGGTTGGATCATGTAAGCGGTTAGAAGATCCTAATTATATGATATTAAAAGACCTCTACGATGTGGTTATTGAATGTGGATAAAAGATAATTAAGGTTATGGTATTTAAGCAACTCGAGTTAAGTCTAAGTGAGGGAAGGTTAATTATAGATGTGGGTGAGATTTTTATGAAGATGCCAAGTGTTGCATGTAAAAATGGGTCTAATAATATGTATGTTGAGGCAGAAGAGGAAGTGAAAGGTGATGGTAGTTTAGGTGAAAATGTAGTTGCTAAAATTGATGTTGCAAATAATGGAGATATAGAAGATGATGACAATGAACAGAATATTACTAATGATGATCATAAATAGAATGTTGTTGATGATTATCGTGAATAAAATATTGATGATGATGATAATGAACATAGGGATGGCAATTTGCCTCATCCCGATGGAGCCCCGCCTCGCCTCGATTTTCCTTGGTTGACCGAGGAATCCCCGTGTTGATCGAGGAACGGGGTGGGGATGGTATTTGCTTACCCCATCCCGTTTGTCCCTAAATTTTTTTATTAAAATTATAATCATACCTTATATAAAATTTATAACTAGTGATTTTTAGGATTTATTTTTTATATAAACTATCATTTTTTGCTATAGTTTGGAATTTGGTAGTAGAATGTGATAAGACGGGATAAAAAAATTTTTTGGTAATTTTTGCCCCGTTTACCCCTCGTTTGCCATACTAGTGCTCCGCGGGGATCTCTCGTCCCTATTTAGGAAGGGGATGGTATGAAAATTTTTACCTCATTTGGGGCACGCAGCGGGGATGGGGAAAATTTTTTAAGGGCGAGACGGGGACGGGGATGGTGATCCCCACCTCGCCTTGCCCCATTGCCATCCAAATAGAATGTAAGAGATGTAGATGTTGATGATAATGAGGAGAATGGTGATAATGATGATGATGATGATTGATTACCAATTGAGGAACCACAAAGTGATAGTATTTTGAGCGATGGTGATTCTAAAAATTTTATAGATGAAGAAATAATTGAGATTAGAAAGCAAAGGAGTAGTATGAGGAGAAATTATGGTTTTGGACTTCGGTTTAGTGATGAATGTGTGGTTCATACCCTATTAGTTATAAGAACTAATGAATTAATAGGGCATAATATACTTTAACCTATTGAAGAAGGCTACACAAATGAATAAGCTAACAAGCAAGGATGAGCATATAGGCTTTCTTGAAAGTGATGAAGACAATGTATCCGTCCATAGGAGAAGGAAAAATAAGGAAAGATGGATTGTTTATCATCTCACATGCAACCATAAGAACTTGGTGTTCAAGGCTATAATGAAATTCATAGATGAAAAATAATTTAAATGAGCTATGCAATTATATGGTATTGAAAATAAAAAAGATTTAACGTGGGTAAAGAGTTTAAAAA